CACCATCATACGCCGTCATCCCCATAACAGGCGATACCCTCATCAAAGAACCCTGGTTCAGCACATGCGCCCTACTCGTCTTCCCCGGCGGCGCCGATCTAGGCTACTGCCGCACGCTCAACGGCGAAGGCAACCGCCGGATTAGTCGGTATGTAAACGCCGGTGGTTCCTACCTTGGTTTCTGCGCTGGAGGGTATTACGGTAGCAGTAGGTGTGAATTCGAAGTCAACGACCCCAAAATGGCTGTTGAAGGAGAGAGGGAGTTAGGTTTCTTCCCTGGAACTTGTAGGGGATTGGCGTTTGAGGGGTTCAAGTATGCGAGTGAAGCTGGGGCGAGGGCGGCGGAGATTAAGATTGAAAAGGGTGCTTTCGAGGGGGTGGATGAGGGGGTGGGAGATGTGTTTAAGAGCTATTATAATGGTGGGGGCGTTTTTGTTGATGCGGGGAAGATGGAGAGTAGGGGGGTGCAGGTCTTGGCGAGTTATACGGAGGATTTGCATGTGGAGAGTGGAGAGGGGAAGGCGGCCGTTGTGTATCGGAAGGTGGGCGAGGGGCATGCTGTTCTTACTGGGCCGCATCCTGAGTAAGTCTCTCTCAATCGTCTGAAGCGTCGTTGCTAACATACCTCAGATTTGCGCCCCAGAACTTGAGCAAGATCCCCAGCTTACCTTCGTATGCTACCGTCATCGGCGACATCGCAGCTACAGATGCTACTCGACTTGACTTTATGCGCTTGATCCTCCGCAAACTTGGGCTGCAGGTCAACGAGCAGGAACAAGCGGTACCGTCCCTTTCCCGTCTGCATCTCACCGCTCATAACCTATCAGACGTCGCTGACCTCGTCGCTACCTGGCGTGAAATCATCACTGTAGTCGATGGCGATGAGTACATCAAGGGCGAGAACGATGTGTTTCGCGTTGAGAAAGAGGGGAGCGCGTGGAGCGTCAAGGAGTTGAAAAGGGCCGTTAGCGCTGTGTCGGAGAAGCTGCCTACCCTTGCTTCTGCTACGAACAGTACCAAGGAAGGTGTTGAAGAACAGACTAAAGAGGAAGATCCCAAGAAGAAAAAGCCCAAAACCCCAGAAGAAGAGATCCAAGACTGCATCACCTACACATCCACCACCTCCCCCGACCAAATCGTCTCCTACGAGAAGATCATCAAAGTCATAACCCCCCACTCGAAAGCCCTACCATCCCCCGAAGAAACCCCCTTCCACCACGAATCCTTCTACGCAAACCTCCACCACTACCACACCAAGCTCCGCAACCCCAACGCTTCCTTCGGCAAACACCTCATCTACGCCGACGTCGTAACCTCCACCAATACGCTCCTCGAGAAGAACCCGTCCTTACTACGCAGCCTCCCCCAAGGCTTCACCATAACAGCAACCACACAAATCGCGGGCCGCGGAAGAGGGAATAACGTTTGGATCGCGCCGCCGGGTGCGTTGATGTTTAGTACTGTGCTGCACCATTCCTTCACACTCAGCCAGTCCGCTCCGGTGGTATTTGTGCAGTACCTCGCCGCCCTCGCCATCGTCCAAGGCATCCAAAACTACGCCCCCGGCTACGAAAAAATCCCCGTAAAACTAAAATGGCCAAACGATATCTACGCGCAACTCCCCGGCTCGTCCAACAACCCTGTTGTCAAAATCGGTGGGATACTGGTTAATAGCAGTTACTCCGGTTCTACCTACGATGTTGTTACGGGGATTGGTTTGAATCTGAGTAACGCGTTACCGACTACGAGTCTAAATCAATTGGCCAAGGGGTGCACGCCGCCGTTGAAAGACTTTACGCCAGAGAAGTTGCTGGCGAGTATACTGGCGCATTTTGAGACGCTGTATAGTACGTTTACGCAGAGTGGGTTTACGAGGGAGATGGAGGAGTTTTATTATGGGAATTGGTTGCATACGGATCAGTTGGTTACGCTGGAGAGTGTGGAGGGTGGTGGTGGTGGTGGGGTGGGCGGTGGGTATAATGGAGGTGCGGGTGGAGGGTATAATGGTGGTCCGGTGAAGGCAAGGATCAAGGGGATTACAAGGGATTGGGGATTGTTGCTGGCGGAGGAGGTTAGGGAGGTGGATGGGCGCGGGACGGGGAGGGTGGTGCAGGTGCAGAGTGATGGGAATAGCTTTGATTTTTTTAGGGGGTTGGTGAGACGGAAGGTTTAGGTTTGGGGCTGAGAGGGGAGACTAGGTCGAAGAGGCGGGGGAGGTGTGATGAGGGCATGTGATGAGAATGAAACCTGGATACTTTGTGGTGGATAGTACTTGATGAGCATGTGGCGATGAGACCATGTGGTTGAAAACGAACCTCTAGTACATTGGGAAGGATGGTATGTGATGAGATATGCTGCAAAAGATCTGAACTTCTCCCGTCATGACTTCCTGGAACAATTGACTGAACTCCTCAGCTCATTCTTGCGAATCCCGTCAACTATATTCTTATCCGCGAGTCCTTCGTAAGAATGATCCTTCCGTGTATAATCGCTCAGACTCCGGTGTCCCGCCGAATCGTTTTCGTGAACCACACGATCTCCTTGTTTGATCGAAGTCCCGCGCCGAGCGCACTCACTTGTGTACCCAGAAGTCCATGGACCGCCAGTCTTTACATTTCTTTGATGCAAGCGGATGGACCAACAAGCGGGGTTTATGGCCGGGGAATCGATCAATTGTCACACACAACTTTCCCGTGGCAGCACAGTAGGTGCACGCTCGCATGTAACGCGGCTCGCTCGAGGATCCTGGGGTTTTCCCTCGGTCCAGCAGAAGTCTCACGCACTTGGTCGTCCTTTTGCTAGCGTCCATCATCTTCTCAAACTCTTTCCTGTTGACTGCTGTTTTCAAGTAGTCTTCGTTGAATTTCCTGGCAGCCTCTTTGACGAACAAGACCGGAAATTCGCACGAGGTATACATGCCGTAGTCTTCCCTAACGGGTGCCCAGAACCCTAGGTCTGTGTCCGATATCTGGACAACTTCCTTGCCAAGCAATTTTCGGAACCGGTCAAATTTCAGGGCCGCGCTGTAGTATCCTTCTTCATTGTCGCCGCTGTGGAACAGGCTGGACTTCGTCATGACGGTGCTCTTTTGTGTGAACCATCGAGGCGCGGCTTTCTCGAGACTCGTATCGGCGTCGCTATCTGTTTCAGAGGCGTAGCTGGAAGTCGGCGGCCAGGGGTAACTAGATGCTTCCTTGGTGTCTTTCGCAATGACGTTGGCTGATTTGTTCTCATCGGAGTCCTCTTGCTTGACAAGATCCTCTTCGTCATCCATCGGCTCCGGGCTTGCTTTCCTCGTCTTTTTCGCCGCCTGCGCAATGTCACTTCCTTTTCTCTTTCCGCCCGCGGTTGATGATAGAGTTCCTCGCGACTTTGGGGTTTGAGCTGGTTGATGTTGTGCGGCCTTTGATAAGCCTGGTCCTGCTTGGATGTTAGTGGTCGGGCGTCTTCACATTGGGGCTTCACTTACGTTCGCCTTTCTGCACTTCAGGTCCGCTAGGATCTCTAACACTCTTGCTACCACTACCGCCGCTGTTACCATCAACACCACTATTGTCACCGTCACGTTTGACCTCTACGGGTGCTGGCACGTCGTTGGCCTTTCGAGTCCTCGCAAGGTCATCAAGAACCACTGTCGCGATGGCATTGAGGTCTTCCCTACGAATACCAGCTTTGAGGCCGTGGGTGATGACATCGATGACTTCGTTGTCGCTGATGCTCGCGAGAAGAGCTGTCCTTGCACCAGCCACGATGGGGTTGCCGGAGAGTGCAAAGAGCGCGTCGTGGTAGGTTTGTGCTGTTGACATAGCGGTATGGGTAGCGAGACTGTGTTCTTAGATAGGAGCGTGAAGGAAGAGAGGTGGAGGAGAGGACGGAGAAGACAAAGTGGATGGAAGGCGACATATAAAGATGGGGTGGGGATGTGCGCGGAGACAGCAGGTGAGAGACTCGGCGATGAGGGTACCTTTACTTGTTCGTTGATTCTGGTGTGAGGATTTCCGTAGAATCACATTATTCACGGGGACGGAAAGATATGAGAGGCTTCTGCATTGTTCACTCATTCTCCTCAACTGCTCGATGTACGAAGGAACGTGTTGATCAAGGATTGTATTTCCACAGCCATCGACCAGAACGTATCTCAGAAGACTACGTCGACTTTTCCTTCTTCGAACTACAATAGAGAAGTCTTTGTATTCGTCTAGTCGACATTTGGAAACCATGATCTTCTTCGTGTACGAATTCCCATCGATCAATTCCTTCGTGCCCGTGTGACAAACTCACGCGTCAAGATTACTCAAGAACGCACCCAATAGTCCAGCGAGTCTATCATTGCCCCACGGCGATATTTCTGAGGTAAGGGGACAAAGGCAAGGCTGATCAATTCCCTGTCTCGCACAAGCCGAGCGCACAAGCGCTTCGCCCTAATACAGCGATCGCAGGCCTCGTTGTCTTTTCCTGTTCGCCCACCAGGCACCTTTGCTCTCATAATAATGGTGTCATTGACGCAGCATCCGGTGGCGACTCCCTTTTCGCGTAGTCTTAGTAGCTTACCCCATTCTGATACATGGAGGTCTGTAGAGAGGTAATCTTCATCAAACTTTGGGGCGAGTAGGGCAACCAAGGCGCTCCCGCTCCGTATCCAACCATCGCAGAAGACACCCCAGTGGAGGATTTCCATGCGCGGAACGATCTTGTTGTCGATCACCTGCTCTATCTCACAGTCTCGAAGGCTCACCTTTGAGGCGAAGGCAGCAGCCTGCGTGGCGACTACAGAAGGTGTATCGGGTCTGGAACGTTTGCGAATCGCACTGCCAGGAGACGGTGAGAGTCTTCGCTTGCTTGTTACCGACGTGGCTGGCGTTGCTGATGCTGCTGGTGTTGCTGATGTCGCTGATGTTGCTGGTGTTGCCGATTCGCCTGATGCTGAACGATCTTTGATCACCATGATCTCGCTCAGGGCTTGTTCATGATTAGTTGGATCCTACAAAACCTGTTGCAGGCTACTCACAATGCTGCTGGATGCTGTTTCCATGCCCTTGCTCGATCTTGACGCTAGCTGTCGCGCGAGCGACACTGCTACCATCACCGTTGGCCGAGGCCGAGGCCGGGTCCTTAGCGATGACGTCCAGAATGACCGAAATGATGTCTTCCAGGCCACCACGCGCGAATTCCCTCCCCACGACCTTCTTCAGAAGTTCCGAAAGGTCGTCGTCATTGATGCCTTGGAGAAGATGTTGGCGGGGTGTGGCGAGCTGGTCGTTTCCAGAAAGCGCGAGCAAGGCCTTGAGGTAGGAATCGACGGTCGACATGGCGAGTTACGCTGACGGGAAGATATGTAGGGTGGAAGGTGAAGGAAGAGCAGTATTGTTGTTGACTACGCGGCGCGGCGCAACGGCGCTAGCGGTGAAAACGCGTGGATTGGGAAAGTGCAAACGGACGAGGTGACGCGCACGCATCGAAGAAAGATGAAAACTATTAAGTCGGGTTGAAAGAATCAGAACACGGTTTAAGACCGATCTTCGCCGACGAACTCATCATAAGCATCATATGCGTCCTTCCTCTACTAGGTACCTCAGCCCTTGAATCAAGCCTCATGGGGTCGAGACACTCGAATTTGACTTCCATCTTGCGGTCTGGTTGCCAGAATTCCATGTCAACGGCCGGATCGCAGCTTCATACACGCCAGCGAGGCCTTTTTGGGAAGGTATAGTGGGCCTGAGCAGCGTCTCTATCACGCTTCCACTTGCTGTAGTGGGCCTCCACGCGACGGCCAGCTTTGTGTTTAGTCCTAGACACTTCAGATGCTTCTTGGCCTCGTCTGAGATCTGACCTAGTGGACAGTGATGCTATCGTTGAGGGGCCCGGATCTGAAGCAAGCTCGCTTCGATCTGCTGTAAGGTTAACGTTAGCATAGATTACGGTAGCCTAGGGATAACTACATGGTCTTACGCTCAGATTCCTTCATGGGGAATCCGTTGACGTCGTATAGCTCTTCCATCTTGATGACGACCTCACACTCCCCATTGGTTTCTTCATGCTTCACCGCGACTCCGTTCTCTTCATGTACATCATGCGCGTTCAAGCCTGGAGTCCTTGAGATGACAGCCAGCATAACTAGCGCAATGTTCTCCAGTCCTTCTCTTTCGAACTCGCATTTCACACCTTGGATGACTACACGCGATAGCTGGTTATCGCTGAGATTCTTGAGTATGTCCTTGCGCATGTCAGTGTCTGGTTGGCTGTGAAACCGCGCGAGTATGGCTTTGAGATCGCTGTCGTAGTATGACATGGTTGGCGGAGATGGAAGAAAGAGTCCGGTTGTATTGTTGTTTGCTACGCAGAGTGACGCTAACGTGGTACCTGCGTATGTCTTGTGGGTAGACAGGACAGGTGATGACCCAGCGAAGGTGTTAGTGGATGATAATTGGCGTCGCCAGCTTTCAAAGCCACCTTAGCTGCGACGATGTGGGACAGGAGAAGCTGTTAATGTTGGTCGTTGTTTTGCGAAATGTTTGTGCGAATGCTGTGTAACGCCATGCAACTGCACCGCGACTAAGCGGACACGTGAGCACGTGACACTTCACCAGCGGCATGGTATTACGTGCTAGAAGATGCTGTCAAACTGCCGGGTTAAGATATCTGAAATCCGGTCTCGAAAGCAAAGCGACAACTGTCGCGAGCGTCACTCGAAGGGTATACTGTGGTACAGTTGGCTGTGGCGACTGTTGCTCGTTTGTCCGTATTTGGGCAGGAATTTGGCCAAGCATTTGCCTGCTGACAGTGCCCATGCCCCGCCCGCATCAAGCGCTTACATACGACTAACAAGATGTCGAAGAGTTTGCATCGACCGTCGAGACCTCTACTAGATCACAGTCGAGCCGATTCGAGATCACATCGCGCAATATTCAAAGTCGATACACGTGGATGACGTCATGCAGGACGCTAGGACCAGTGACAGCATAGCGGCCCGTCAATGTTGGGAGTGCTTCAAACGACGCCTGGTATGCGATCGCACCCTGCCACTTTGCAGAAAATGTACCAAGACGGGTAAGGAATGCCCAGGATACAGCGACCAGAAGCCTTTGCAGTGGGTGGAACCGGGACACGTGACAATCCGTCCGAAGAAGAAGAAGAAGGAATGCCGGCTACCAATATCCGCTATCAGAGAAAGGAAGCTAGAGAAACTCGCGCCCATCATTTCAAATGAACCCTTTGCTGCTCCTGAGGTATCTAGAGACGCATGTCTACCAGAGATCCTCGGAGAAGGAGGGTGCTCGTGGCCGGTCTCCGAAGAGCTTCAGCTCGACCCGGAAGAGAGCGAACTATCCAAGAGCCAATTTGCCGGCCTATTAGTGCAAGAAGACAAGCCAGCATGGTGGCGCGACTCTGTGATCAAGCAGCAGGTCGACCCCATTGAGCCACTAGCTGTAGAGGCCGGGGCGGGCTGTGGGGTGGGCGAACGCATCATGTGCATCGGCAACAAAGACCAGATCAAGGAAGTAGTAGAAAGGGGCCGGCACTGGGAAGCCGCACTACTTCTCCAGTCAAACCAGAGGCCTCTCGCAAAGATACGGAGACTGTTGCAGATCATGGAGATGAACAGACTTCCATCGTACGATTTCTTGTCGGATGAGACACACGATGTGGTACAAGCCGTCAATTACTGTATGTACGCATGCTCCGACGAAAGGCATACATGTACTAAGTCCGATAGTTAACACTAAGATTTACCCGGATATCCAAGAGACGGACTGCCTAGCACCCAATCCAGCAGTAGTGCACTTCCCAGTGTGGGCTCTGCATATACTTGCTCCTCCAATGCACTACACTACTGTCTGCTTGAGTCTCAACTACCATTTGACCTCGTTGCCTCCAGGCAAGGACCGTGCGACCATCGCAAACAATCGCCTCAAGATATACCATTATCGAGGCCTTGCTATACGCGCTCTCAACGAGAATGTCGCGAGGAAGGAAACCCGCAGTAGTGATCAGACAATCGCCAGCATCCTCATGTTTCTGGCAATGGAGGTACACTCTGACAAATCTGCCACGTACGGGCCCAAAAGGCTGATTGCTATCTTAGGTACATAGCTCTACAGATGTCGACTGGAGGTCGCATGCAGATGGAATGAAGCGACTGATAGATATGCGTGGTGGCTTTGGATCACTGCGACGCACAGTACCTCACATGACATCAGCGCTAGTGATCTTCGTACTGTTAGTATTCCACGATGATCGCGACAAATTTGGCTGACATCATGCAGCATCGTAACCTTTTCGAATAGTCTTGGTCCAGCATCGCATCAGATCAGTATCACTGAGCCACTCGAACAGCATATCGAGGAAGTAGAGAAGGTGTATAGCCTTATCCTCCCTTACACACTGTGTCCGTCGACACTCTTCATTGAGATAATCCGCATCAACCGCCTGCGTCAACAGCTCAGCCTCACACCCGTTGTGGACCCGCATCAGTACGCTCAAGATGCACGCAGCATTCTCTCTCGTATCGAATCCTTCGGCCCAAGAGAATGGGCGCAGTCCAAGGATCAGAAAGATGACTGGCAGCTAATCGCATCGATCTGGCAGTCTGCAATCGCACTCTACTGCATAATGTCCTTGCAAGCTGTTGACATCCTTCCCAGCGACACAGAGATGGATCTCATGCGAATGCGGCATCGTGATCGTCTACTCAAAGATTTGAAGGCTGCTACACCATTAAAACAGTTAAAGAAGATATCGACATTTCCACTGTGTGTACTTGGCGTGGAAGCGGGCTATCACGTTCAGCAAATGACCCAGATCTGGATTGAACGGCACTTGGAGGATCATGCTCGCCTTCTTGGCAGCAACAGTTCTTTGAAGGCGCGAGGAGTACTCCGACGATACTGGCGTCGGAATAAACCTGGTTGGAATGAGTGTTTTGATGAGCCGTAAGTATTTCGTGTCGAACGTTTCCAGAGAGATGGCTAATGAGATCGATTTGCAGGTTTACAACTCTTGTACCAGCGGGTGTCTGCTGATCGGCCTGACGAATCGATGCGATCTCAAAGTTTATGCAACGGCCAATTGAGGCATGGTGTCGTTGACTGCTTAGGCCAGCCCTGAATCTAGTTTGAATGAACCATCGACTATTGCATACTTCAGTGCTTCCCAGAACCGAAATTGCCACATTCGATGGGTCACCGAGATGCCGAAGTGCATGCGCACTTGTCTCGGTTCGGCATTAAAGTAGCGAGCTGAGCTGACTGCATTCAAGGGAAGGAAGCGCGATCTGGTGCTGGCCAATAACAATCCCACAATGCCATCGCTGCCATTGCTCCTCCTCATTCGTTGCTGTTCGTCTTGGCCTTTCTGACTTCCTAACAGGGTTAGCGCTGATAGCGGGCGGTGTTTGAGGCTACCCCAAAACAGCGAGACTTTCAACAGCGAGCATTAACTAGGAAGAAAGCTTGGCCATATCGCAGTCCGTTTCGGTATAGGTGCGCAGCATATACCTCATAGTGTATGCGCGAATCCAATTAGCCACGACTGCGCTCTACTTCGGTTCTGGCTGGCTATTTTCGCCTAGCAGTTCTTACTAACGACAGTGCTCACGAATTCGATGTCATTGTGGCTCCGTTGATCACGTCCGGCAATGACGAGCGCTTGATTCTGATGCGGCCCCCACAACTAGCACTGCGCGAAGGACGCCTCGTCCTCTCCTGTTGCATCTGCAAGGCTGACCAGGTGGGAAAGCAGGATTTAGTAAAAATATATATAGTGTACCAGACTCTAGGGACGCATCTCGATACCATCGACAGGCCGTCACAACTACTGTACCGATATGTTTCCAAGGACGACCCTTTGCCTCGCGTTAATCGCAGGCCTCAACATCGCTGCGACGGCGTCACAATCATCTTTTGAATACACCGAATGCTCTGAGGATTCCGAGAACATCGCGATCAACTGGACAGATGCGTCCACCGTTCTGGGCAGACCCGACACCTATCTCGGAAAGCTGGTTGTACCTCTTGACTATACGCTGCCCCATTCGAACAACAACACACTCACCCTCAACATCCTGAAAGTCAAAGCGACCAAAGAGCCTAAGCTGGGGAGTGTGTTGACGAACTGGGGAGGTCCGGGTCTGCCCGCAACTGACTGGCTTTTGCAACAAGGTCGTTATGTTATTGCGTAAGTTGCTGCTTGTCGGGTACATGCTGCGATCAGGTGCTAACAACTCTTCTCGTGTAGCATGACAGGCGGGCAGTACGATATTATCGGTCCCGACCCCAGAGGCACTGGCACGACAATGCCCGTAGATTGCTACAACGACGAAATGGAACGGATGGTCGCGACCTTACGAACACCCACGAGGACCAACTCATTCGATATTGCATTGGGTGCTGTTTGGTCGTACACCAAGCAATACGCCGCACGCTGCTTCCAGAACGAGGCAGTGAATGGATCCTTGATGAGTACGGCGTTCGTTGCCAGAGACTTCATGAAGGTTGTCGATGCTCTGACTGCGGAAGGCGAGGATGGTCTTCTCCGGTACTGGGGTGAGTTGGAGACGATGGCTAGAATTTGAGGCTGTTGGCTAATCGGCGTCAGGCATATCCTATGGCACGTATCTGGGTCAGGTCCTAGCTGCCATGTTTCCCGACAAAATCGAGCGAATGATGCTTGATGGTGTTCTCAACCCGCTCGAGTATCAGCAAGGATGGTACGTAGCTTCTTCCAGATGAATGCGGCACAAGCTGACTGAGCATCAGGGAGACCGGTCCAGCTGAATCCGCGCCAGTTGCCTTGGGACAGTTTACCAAACAGTGCATCGATGCTGGCCCCTCCTGTCCCCTCTTTCGCCCCAACATTTCTTCCGACTCGTTGTACGACCAAATCCTACACCTGAGCGAAGAAGCCAAACGCGAGCCAATCGTTATGGGCCCCAACGTCACCACCGATATCGTCACCTACGAGAAGATCGCTGAGGCTAGTGACACCGCTCTGCGCATGGGTCTGGCATCCGGGTCTTACTTGGCAGGCTATCTCAACAGCATCATGATCCGCGATACTTCAGAGTACAACCACAGCCAGTACCTGATCAATCGCTCTTTCATCGTCCAAGATGCAGCGATCAATGCAGACAACACGCAGCTCATCCGTTGCTCCGACGCCATGTTCCGTGCTGATGAGCTCGCCGATATCGAGGAACGCGTCCGGCACATAACGAAGTTGAGTGACTGGAACAGCGATTACGTCATCGGCGCATACATAATGTGCTCGCTGTGGAAGGTTCAGGCAAAAGAGCGGTACGAGGGCGACTTCAAGGCGAAGACTAGGTACCCTGTATTGCTCATCGGTTCGCCGTATGACGTCCGCACTCCAATCTCTGGGGCTTATGCGGCGAAAAAGACGCTGGATGGTAGTGTTGTGCTTCAACACAATGGTCTCGGAGTAAGTGGAAGACCATCTCGTGGCTCCATGAATGGGTGTAGTTTACTTGAGAAAGACAATGGCTAACGAGGTTCGTAGCACACGGTTATGTACAGCCCCGGAATCTGCGCCATTACCGCAACCGCTGCGTATTTCGTGAATGGGACTATGCCGGAAGAAGGGATGGTGTGCGAGCAAGACTTTGGTATCTTCTCTGGAAAAAGCTTGAACGATACTCTCGATCTTGTTGGTGAGCCTTAGTCTTCCGCCATTCGGATTTTGAGACTTCGTGGGGGGCAGTGTCGAGACGATAGAGAAGGTGAAGGTTGGTCTGTCGATGAGAATTAAATGGTGTGTTCGGACCTCCATGAAGGGTGGTTGCTCCGGTATGAACGCTGGATAGACATTTCGAAGCTGCCTGTAAATCTTCCCGATGTGACTCATTTCCAACTCGCTGCTCTCTCTCCCGCTCCTCGATATGCATTGTGAGACGCTTGATGTGCCGCATGTGACTACTCATTGGGAGATAGGGAAGCTCGAGATACCCCATGTTCCACGTGCATACTTCTCCCCAAATCTGAAGAGGACTCCGTTAAGTCTGACATATGCGCCGAGCGAGATCGAAGTCTGGCCTGCGCGAAACTTATCGTGCAATGGAAATATGCACAGCTTGGGCCCCATGGTGTCCAGAATGACTCTGACACATAGACGCATCCGGCCATTGCAATGGTCACAAGCCCTGTCCTTGTCTCCTTCGGCTGAAGTGTACTTTGATGCGCCTGTGCCGCTGTACAGCCAGTGGCAGACGCACATTCCCCTCTGCATGAAGCGTTCTGCATCCCTCACTATTGACCGATACATTGTCGATATTTTAGGATGCGACATGTAGACTCGATTGAATATTGCGTGGATAACCCTACCGTCCCCAGGTGATAGGTCATGAAGAGGTAGCCAGGCGCCACCTCCGAAGCTGTTTGGAGCCCATACGCCTATCCTGAGTCTGGGATTTGGATCGGTTGCGGAGGCTGCGGGAAATGTAATGAAGTTTACGTCCGTCGCAGGATTTTGGTCCGCGTACAGCACCGCTTGTGGCGCTACTGTATTGCTTTCTTCCTCATCTTTGACGGAATCTTCTAGATCGATGACTGTCGGAGTTATCGCGAGGCGATAGTCGTATGGATGTATGACGTTATCCGCTTCCCACATGTCACTCTCGTAATCGTCCTCGTTCTTGTCCTCGTTCTCGTCATCACGTAGGTCGATGGTGTCCAACGATGAGCCACCAATCGGTTCATTTTTGTATGCCTTACTAGCAGGTTCCTGTCGCTCGCTATTTGTATCTTTAATAGCGCGCTTTCGCTTGCCCACCGAAGGGGTTGCTGCTTTTACTTGTGTCGCGTCTATCCGAGGTGCGATGGGGACAAACCCCAGAGATTCTGTGGTGATACATATCAGCCGGCGCCTCATATGTCCATAATTGCATCTTTACCAGTCTTTGGAACTGTCATTGGCTCGACATTGGGATTCTCTTTCAGGATATTGAGCATTGCGCAGACCAATCGCTCTCGTACCCTTCGGTTGGTACATCCGGTTATTCCTTCGACGGCAACGATTTCCAGCTCTTCCCAGTTCAGGCCATCAATGAGCCTCATGCGCGCATCGGCGAACTTTTCATTACCGGTCAGCGCAAGCAGCGCCTCCAGATACGAGCTCGTCATCGTGTAGACGCGCACACGTGAGAGATGCTGTGGTGCGAGGTGGATAGCCGGCACCGGATGTTTGTTGATGGCACCGGGCGGCAATCCCCGGCCGAGCTAGCGACTAGCGCATCGTCTGAAGCTCGGACCGACGAACACCAAAGGTTTGCGAATCCGCATCATACCCAATCCCTCACACACAGCTTTGGATCTCACGCCTCTTCACAACGTTGTCAAGGGCAAGCTCGCGCATTACTAGAGAGCTTGGGTAATATTCAGTAGGGTCAATAGCTGTCAAGGCTCACCGCATCAAGCAGCCGACGTGATCATTTTATCGTTTATTACTCGTCTATTCCATCTCTCTTCCGTCTCGTCCTCAAGAGGACAAGAACCCGAATACCCTACTTGACCGCGCGATCGAAGGAAACGACTAAAAGTCTACATCGCATGAGGATCTTCGCAGGGTTCGTCATGGGACTGACGTAGACTCCAGCATACCTGCTCGGTTTCTTTCTCGCCGCCTGCCTCCTTCGCCATCATCCTCCAATGACCCAGGCAGCGATGGAACCCAGCGCCTTGCTCTCACGACAGGCTTCAGGTAGCGGATAGACGCAGAGCTTTGTACCCAAGCGACAATGTACGACTCGTACGCAAAGGCGCCGGGTGCGAATGCAAGTGTCGCAAGCCCTATGCGTGTTTGCACGAGCGTTCTCAAAAGCCATTCGACCACAGCCATTCTGCAAGACGAGAATGTTGATGCATTTGCCCCCGGCGATATAAAGTGCTGCGTTCCTAGCCACCCCTGCATATGCCGCATGCTTGGCTTGGTCGGAAGTGAAGTCTGTCAAGAATCTTGCAGCGATACTGTTACCCGACGCAACATCGCCGAGCGGTTGCCATTCTTCCATTTCGGAAATGTTCATAACCCATGCACCTATCTTGAGCTTGGGTATAGCACAGGCTGTGGACCATACGTTGACGACATTAATATCAGTGTTGGCGTCTGCAGGGGTCTCATCTTGTAGATCGTGGTCATGTTCCGCGGTCATACCCGCCCAGTCTCCATTGTCCTCTTGTTCTCCGCTGATGGAGTTGCTGATACCTTCATTGGTCGTGTTGAGCGCGGCCGCTGTATGGAGTCGGACGCCGAAGTGATCTGCGTTTTCCGTGGCCTTCCTTTTGGGCTGGCCCCTCCGCGATGCCATGCCAGACGTTGCGAGGTCGTGCGCGTTGGGTGTGGGTGCGGGTGCGGACTGTATAGGCTGCCTGAAGTCTGTAATACCGCTGGTTAGTAACTAGTCCTCACCCAGCCTTTGAGTTCTTACTGTTCCCGACGAGCAACTCGGAGGTTCTCGGTTCTGTATTGATGAGATCAAGCAGGTTGACACTCAACATCTCGCGTGCTTTGCGGCTAGTACGACCGAGTCCATCCCGAATCAAGGTAAGGAGCTCCTCATCGCTAAGGCGTTGAATTAGCTGCAAGCGACCATCCGCGAAGATGTGATCGGAGAAGGCGAGCAGATGCTCTAGATATGGTTTTGCCATTATGGGTGAGGTTCCGCGTAGTGAGAGAGAGCGAGAGAAGTCTTGGTTTGTTGACATCTAGATAGGCAGGCGCGAAGCGCTAGCGCCGACGGAGTCACGTCACAGCAAACGAGAGCACCGCCAGGAGTATGCGCGAAGTGAGAGCTGACTCCCTGTTAAGACCCTATAGTATGTGTGCTGCAAATTGCGATCCCGCCACGTGACCGGGATTCTTTTTCCCCTACTGCCATCACCAGCCCAGATTCGGCTGCGCAACAAAGTCATACACAAACACCTGCTCAAGCAACGGGTCCGTCTCATTCTTCCGCCATATCAGCTTAATCCTTCTACAACGATGGAGATGTCACATACCTTCAGCTTATCGTGCGTCGGATCTTTATCGAACACCTGTCTCGAGGCTTCATCCTACTCAATGTCAGCACTCGTGATGCGGTCGCGTCACCATCCATTCCATACCTTGAAGACTACAACGAAACCCAAGTCCCACACACTCTCCCTCTTCACATTCGTCAGGTTTAGTGGCGTATTCAGCGGTCTTCCTCCTTTTGGCCCTTCGACCAGTAACTCAGGGTGCTCAGCGTAAAGCGCAAGAAAGGCAGATGCGCGATCGCCTTTCTGCTCCGCGGTGACATTGGGGTGGAAGCGGAATGTTGCTATGCGCGTTACGGGGGATGTATCGGTGGAGTTGGGCGTTGAAGTGGACATTGTGAAGGAAGAAGCAAGGCTGAAGAGGGCGACGAAGGCCGTGAGGAGGCGGGAGTGGAGTTGCATTGTGCTGAGGCAAAAGCGGCGGGGTATGCGCTTTAAGCAATGTAAGACGGGTCGATGCTGTGCGACTTCAACCAGGGCGTAACACCATAAATGAGGAAAGCCGTTGTGCGTGCAGTCGGTCGCGATGCTGACCGCGTATTGGTGCGCTAAACTTTAATCTGACCTGCATGCGGAGGTGGGGATACGCGGGCGGAGAGCCGAAGTCACCACATCACATTCGCATCGATGCACGTTGACTGTCTTTATATCTCTGAACTTTTGTTCTACTATAACTTCTGATAATACATGCAAAAATGCTAATGAGACGTCTTTGTGCCAATGGCAATGACACAGGTAACGGCAAAAGGAAGAACAAGAAATGGCCGTGCAGCTAGCCAGCAACCGCGAACAACATAACAACTAAACATGAAGCCAGATGCAGAAAAGAGATGGACGCACTGTAGGGCAAGCTTTCTTGACTTGCGCTCAGTGCGACAGCGATACGAGTCCTGTGAACTTCCAGTCGACTCAAGATCGCTCGACGATAAGGGTCGATCGGTCAATTGGGGGTGGCAGATGAGCCAAGCCACTTTTGTGGACTCGGTCTCATCGCAGCTGGGTGATGAAAGCACTTTTGTGTTCCAAATATCCCCAGCTAGTATCCACCAATTATCTTAGCGGTGGATGGCCGATGAGTCGTCAAGACCTTTGGACTTGCGCTCATCCCGACCGGTGGTTCGAGCCTCTTTGGGCCTTTCACTCATCTCGGTCGTCAGCTGTCAAGTCTCTCTGGACGGATTCAGCTGGGCTAACTCAGTAGTAATGACTTCGATAGGCGCGCCTCTCTGGACGCGGCGACGGGGTAGTGGAGGAGGTGCGCTCTTTGAGCTTGCACCTGGTCGACGGGGTGGTGACGTCTCTCTGGACTTTACACCAGCTCGACCGGCGGCTGTCGATGTTCTCTGACATGATCGGCCGGAATGGATGTCGGGATACCTTGGATTGAAGCGTGCTTCGGGTGCAGAGGTCGACAAGGAAAGCTCTTTTGGCTTTCGTTCGGAAAGCAGGTTGTTCTGACTCAGCCAAGATGCGGCGAGCGATGGAAGCCTCTTGGGCTACGATGAATGTGAGTTACTGGTTGTTGAAGTGGCGCTGTAGGTATGCCGACCACTGGTGGTCTGGTATGTTTGTTGGGAGACCCGCCCGGCGACTGATGAAGATAGCCTGGATAATTGCGCTCTTCAAATCGGGCGGCGACGAAGCACCGAGGCACGACGTTGGGCGCTACTGCGTTTGTTGTACTTTGCATCCTCATTGTGGCGAGCCTCGCGCTGCTTTGCCACTACTTCCTTGGTCACGAACTTCTTGTTGCGACCCTGGCGCTCTACTTGCTCTACTTCGTCTGTAAGGCTGGCGGAGCGACGGCGCTTGACACCAACAGAGGAGGCAGAAGATGGGGTAGGAGACGGAGCTGGAGGAGCAGAGGGCGCGGAAGCTGAGGGGGCTGACGAGTCGGCAGTGGTCGTCCTGGCCTGGGATAGTCGAGCAGAGCGACGCGGGTTGATCTCGACGCGTCCGGACGTCTGTGAATTCGCTGAGCCGGGAGGGCTCAGGAAAGATTGGCTGCCGAAGCGGCTGCGGGAGAAAGAGTTCGAGAAACCCTGTGTCTGGCTGGAAGGGCTCTGCGACCGGCCCAGAGTCTGCTGCGACTCGCCAAAGTACGTGGTGTCGGGCGTTTCCTGCAACTCACTTTTGATACCCGAAACGGAAGAGTGAAAGCCCGACGACTTGGACGAGCCGATGGAGCTCTGAAAGCCGGAGGTGGCGTCCTCGGCCTTGATAGCGGGTGTGGAGGAAGGTACCTGGTTGGCAGCAGGGCGGGTCTTCTTGATAGTGCCGAGGTTGCCAGAAGTGAAGGAGACGGCGTCGGGGTCCATCTCTTCGAAAGCGATGAGGGTGCGCTTGGCGCTCGTGGTCGTGGCCTTTTCGGCCTTGATGGCAGGCGCAGGCGGAGACTTGGAGTCGGCGGTGCGACGAATCTGGTTGTGGCGCTGGACGTCGCTGCCAACGCTATCTTCTACCTTGACGAGGCTGTCCTTAGTGATAGTGACGGGTGCGCGCTCGATAATCTCTTCTTCACCGACATCGAGGTAGTCGTCGTCGCGCTCTCGTTCCACTGAGGTCGGCTTCATGATGTTGGCCGATCCAATCTTAGTCTCAATGGGTCGATCGATCTCGACCTTGACGGCAGGCTCTTTCGCGAACTTAACGGAGTTCTGGATCTCGGCCTGTGCAGACTGCTCTTTCTTGACCTTGGTCGGCGTCTTCACAGCTGCGACCGACTTCTCTTTCAGAGGCCAGCCCTGAAGCAGCGAGTTCACGCTGACGGGCATCGGCGGTTGCAACATGGATGGCGAGACTGGATCGTTCCACGGAATGTCCATGAAAGACTCGTTGATGTTGCGAGGCTTGCCGAACCGCGAGAAGGTGTCGGGGTTCGATCGATGAAGCGTCTTCGCGGGTGAGTTCGAAGTCGCGCCCTGGTCTTTGAGCTGAGCCCTCCTATCGCGAAGCCGAGCACTGTTGTCGAGATCCGCCTGGAGGTTGGGACGTTTGGGGTCGAAAGGGATGGAGTGCGCCTCGAGCTTGTCGTTGAGGTATCGGGTGAGCTCTTGGGAACAACCGGGTGAGAGCTTGACGCCATGCTTCTCGAGAATGTCTTTGATGTCATGCGAGAGATGATGAGGACTCTGCTTGAGCAAGAAAGCTCCTGTGCGACAAGTCAGTATACGGAAAGACGCACAAAGACGCGAGCGCGGGGGTGCTTACCGGTGACGGAGCGCATCTTGGGTGCGGCCTGCTGGTTGTTGGGAGTGGTGGAAGACATCGTTGTAGTGGATGTGAAAGAGTGTGAAGTAGGTGAGTATTGACGACGAGTAGTGGAAGTGTGCTGTGTAATGCGAGCAGCTGTGATAATGCGCAGAATGCAGGAAGCGGGTGGTATATAAAGACTGAGGGTCTGAGCTGTCGCGTTGTTTTGTATGGGGCGGGGTATCGCGGTCTTTTATCGAAACGGTGTTGTGATTGCCTAGTCGCAAGTATTCACTGTGTGGTCCTGGGTCGCAGGCACAATGCAAAGCGCGATGTCGGCGCAAGCGACGCTGGAAGCAGTGAATGTGTCGCGACTTTTCTCTTAATTGCGCATTCATACACTTCATTGAGAAACTACCCCTCTTTGTATCGCTGGGTGGGTCGACGAGGTGACAACGCGCGCAGTCACGTGTTGTGACATTCACTTCGAGTGCTCTGCGTTTGGTGCTCAAACCCGCAACCGCCTTAGGTAGCAAACCTGCCGCGATACCTTTGTATTTACTAAGCACACCTATGGATGGATCAGCGCAGAACCTCGTGCTATGCGCGCAGCTTTAGTATACTGACCTACCATAGTCTCGTATATTCAAAGCCTGTACCAGCTTTTTGGTCACGTATCCATGGTTCTGCGATCAGAACGAAAAAATGTGAAGTCGATTTGGCGATGCGCATGGTGGCCGTTCGCTCACCAGCTCTCCTCCTGCGTCTTCTCAAAAAGTTGCGATCGCGGTGAAGCAGTGACGTTGGCGCAGGCGTTCGCACTTCCCTTTTCCGATTGAATCGCGCGTTGAAGTTCTCGCATTCACCACATACGGCAACCACCACCTCGTCCCCACGATACGAAGTGCAGTCACCCACCTCCTCTGTACACTCCGCGCACCATCTTCGCGTTCCGTTGGTACATTATCGCGCAACTGTAGTCAGCAACCTACTATAATATTACACCACTTAGAGTAGTCACAGCACTCCTTGTATACCTCAACATCCAAGATGGTTGACAAGATCGGGCGCCCACGCAAGGCTGTAGGCAGCAACGACCCTTCCGGAAAGGGCGATAGCGCTCCGAGAGGCCGCCAACAACGCGAGGCCTCCTCACATAAATCACAATACTACAGCGCTCACGACGGGTTTGAAGATGCGCCCATGCTATCAGCACTAAGCGCTTCACAACATCGCGATTTTGAAGAGGCGCAAGCGGAGCCAGAGCCACGAGCTCGTCCGGCCAACATCCGCACCAGCACCGCCGCTGAGTCGCAAATCGATGCCGAGGAAGACGAAACCCCTTCTCAGCCCGCATCTCCTTCCTCGTCTTCTTCATCAAGCTGGGAAGACCTCCCATCACCCCAATCCACTTCCCTTCCAACCGCCACACCCTTCCCCGGCACTTGGCCCGCCGCCCTCCACGACACCAGCGCCGCGCTGTCAGAGGTCTCTACCGCGACCATCTCCTTCGCCAGCGCCCTCGCATCGTCCGGCCTCGGTCGCGCATCATGGAGTATCGGCGCAGCAACTCTTTCCTCCACCAACCGCGCGGCACTCTCTTTCACCACTTGGGGCATGGAGAAGACCGGCGTCATGCCGAATGAGCTTCCCAGACCAATGAGAAGATGGATTCAAGGGAAGGAAGAGCGGGACCGAAGGAGGAGACAGGCTGAGCAGAGAAGGAGAGAGAGAAGGAGAAGGGAACGGGATGGAGTAGTAATCACCGGAGGAGTGGATGAGGAAGGGGGGTATGTGCTGGCTACGCATGAGATGGATGGCACGCTGAACTTCGAGGGCAGGGGGCCTTTGGACATGCGCGAAGAAACAAGTGAACAGGAGGAAGTGCAAGAACATGCGACAGGGCAGGAGGAGATCAAGGAGCAGGAGGACGATCATGGAGAAGATGGCCTCATGCGAGTGTTTGAGTTCGACGATGATGAGGACTTATGAGAGACAGTGGTAGATAGACGAAGAAGCATGCGATATAAATGTATCCATGACGATATATAATGAAGTCTGCTGACACTGCGTCACGCTCCTAGAACGAGATGGCTCGTACAAGAGCCCATGCCACCCATTCAGTTCCCCATCCCCACAATGCCACGCATCTACAGATTAACAAACTTCGCCGCATTACACTGCGTGTCACTAGCAATCGGCTTCCCATTGAGCGCAATCTTAAGATGACCCTCCCAAGTGCCCCCATGATCCATCTTAAAGCAAGCAGCATCATACCCATTCTCCTGCATCCACTTGAGTTCCCTCTCAACCGCATTCCTAATCGTCTTCGACTCAGATGTCGTGTCGCACTTGGGGCCAGAGGTAGTCGCGTAGTACTGCCACACAGCGCCGTCGACGTTTCCAGAGATCACGGAGCAACTGTTGACGTCGGATTGGCCTTTGATGTAGACGGCGAGGTAGTTGGCGATGGAGACGATGGCGAGGGTGGCGGTTGCGCCTTGACTGACGAAACCGGCGGCGACTTCGATGTCGGTGCGGGGGGAGAGGGGGGAGGCGATGTCTCTGGTGTCGAGAAGGTCGTAGCTAGAGGGTTTGTGTCAGTGGATTGTAATGACAGAGACATGTCGAAGGGGGTCGACGACTTACTCTTTCTCGGGGGCACCGATGGCGAGAGACTCGGCAGCGCCGAGGAGGCAGAAGATGTGGGCGAGCTGGAAACGCATCGTGAAGAAGTGAGGTGTAGCAAAAGGGGTATTTTGGGTGTGTATTGTGACTTGAGAGAAATCGTTGTGGTGGGATGATGACCTCTATCTCGACGCATCGATTACTTATATACATCTTCAAATGAACACAAACTACATGAGGCCTGCGCTCTACCTCCCCTCTTCGTCAATAACCAAGCTCTTGACGACCGTTTCTGCCTCGTCGACCCGAGCCCGATGAGGCCCCCTAACAGACTGCTCGCCTTGATCACAAAATGAGAGAGGAGGTTGTCTAGACGGCGACGTGAATCCATGCTACAGCGCTGTACCAAAGGACCGACATAGATGATCGCGGGGTGCCTGATGCACTGTACAAGAACATTATCGAAGTATCGCAGTCCAAACAAGCCCGCCCCACGAAAGCTTATGCCGATCTTGATCTGTCTTGGTTTCAAGATCCGGAGATGTCGGTCGGCGCAAACGTAGGGTTCTTTTACGGACCGATCCGGTACGCCTTAGGTGCACTGCCTCGTGCGGCTATAAACAGCGACGGAGGATGGAACGCCTGAACAGTGCTGACGTAGATGTTCGATCTAAAACGGCCATTTTTGAGAAGTTTAACTTTTTGGGGGGCTGTGATTACTGAAACGACAAGGCAAGATGGGGTCCGGCTTCTTGATTCGGCCCGCTGCACAGACCGACAGAGGAACGCCTTGGAGACGGCGAAGTTCAACACCATGATTGATATTGTATAGACGCTGATCCAAGAGGGGCGCCTTACACATACAGGGCTGTACGGCGGTTTCCACGGGATGCGATGAAGACAGCATCGGTCTACCTGCTTGCCAATCAAGCATCTTGCCTCTATCCAGCACACTTCGGTCGTATCGTGAGGCTGTTTTCTCCAGCATCGTTGTCATCAGGCGTGCAAGCACTTGATCACCATGGCTCAAGGCGTGCAGCAAGTCAATCCGTGCTCGAATCTTGACAACTTACCAGTCGGAACGGTTCATCGTGAGAGTGTATATATATCGGGCAAGACACACAGTTCTACCGCATCATCCTCACCACTCAAGCATCACTACTCTACCGTGCTTTCATCTCTCACAACACATTCCACACATCCTCATTCCACTGCCCGTCATGCGTTTCTCAGCCATCGCCGCTACCGCTCTCTGCCTCGGCTACAACGCCATGGCCATCTCCCTTCCTGAGCGAGATGCGCTGCCATCATTGAGCGAGAAGACACAGTCTAGGTATGATGACGAAGTCCTTCCTAAAACCATCCTCCATCCCCTACTAACTGTTCAAACCAGCGACGACCTCGCCAAACGCCTCACCATCGAAGAGCAAATCGCCATTCTGGGCGCAGGCTCCATGGTCGCACTCAACGTGAACGCGATTGCGACTTACGTTTCGAACCTCATGAAGGCGCAAAGCGAGGCCAACACTTGTGGTGTTATCTCTGGCGCTGTTGACGGGTACGTCTCCCTCCACCCCCCTTCTCCCCCGTCTCCCATCCCCATCCACACCCTTCCTACCGCCCACTAACCCCTCCCCCTCTTCAGAGTAAACTACCAATACCACGCGGCAACCACCGGAAAAAACTGCGACACAACCGCCGAAGTCAAGACGATGAAAGACGCCGTGACGCGCGGCCTAGAATTCATGACGAACAACAACATCAACCAAGCGTGCTTTAACATGCAGCATGGTGGGACGTGGAGGGGTTTGTTGCAGTTGGCGAGTGGGGATAGGCAGATTGTTAATGGCAAGTGTGATAGTGTTACTTATACGTTGACTGTGTAGTGGGGAATAGAATAGGGGGGGATAGAGGATTAGAGAGGGGATAGGGTAGGATGGATGTGTAGAGGAATGGATTTGATGGGACTTGCAACTTTTCAGTGCGTTGTTTGTTGATCGTGAGACCTACTTCCCCACCGTTTACCTTCTGATGTTCTCGTCCTTTTGATGTGATGCTGAGGATGATGATATATCCACTGTTCGAGTAGGCTCGCGAAACATCGCAACGATCTTACTTCTCATGAACAACAGTGTGCGCAGCCAGGCCTAACATTGGTACAAGTAAGGGGAAGATGAAGCCACTAGCAGATGTGCCTCCTAGCTCATGCATCCACATAGCTTACCCTTCCGTCAATGTGGCGGGCCGAGCGATAATGCGCAAACAGGAAAAACGTCTAGCTCTTTAGACACATGACGGTCAAGTCAGACGATCACAAAACGTCTCCTCACCAATCTACTCACATGTACTTGACTCACTTACGAATCATACGTGATATCTTGCTGCAAAGGGTATTGTCGCATTGGGGTGACCGTTCAAAGTCGTCACTCATTATCTTATCAACTCACATCTATCTTACCAACACATATCTACCCACCGCCACACTTCTCTTGAAATGCGATGCGCGTCTACAACCTCTCCTTCTGGAGACCCTTCCAGCCCCACTCTTGCGCAATCAACTCCGCGGCGCGCTCACCGATACCCAGCACAGTCAACATGGGGTTGATGGTGGGCATCTCGGGGAAACAACCCGCATCCGCAATCCTGACGCTCTTGAGACCGCGAATCTTCAACTCGGGGTCCACAACGGCCATCTCGTCCTTTGTTACATCACCCATCTTGGTTGTGCCAGCGGGGTGGTATACAGTGTGTGCGACGCGGCGACCGTACTCGGAGAGCTCTTCGTCGGTGACGACCTTCGGGCCAGGCGCGACTTCGCGCTTGATCCAGTTGGAGAAAGGTGCTTGCTTGGCGATTTCGCGGGCAGCCTTGAGACCAGCGACGATGGTGGCTGCGTCGTAGCCTTCGGGGTCGGTGAAGTAGCGGAAGTCGAGCGCGGGTTTGACGGTGGGGTCGGCGGAGGTGAGGTAGATGCGGCCGCGGGAGCGGGGACGGGGGATGTTGGGCGTCATGCAGAATGCGTCGATGGGGGAGTCGTAACCCATGCTGGTGATCATGTTAGTTGCAGCGCGGAAATGTGGGGTTGTTGGGCTTACCGAGCAGTGTTCAGGCAGAACGGGATTTGGTAGCAGTGGGCCATGATGTCGGCAATGTCGCCGTCACCACCCGCTGCGTTGGGGATCTCGCGGCGCAGGAAGATACCAGCGTCTGAGTCCATGGTGGTCTGGTTTGCGGGTACGGGCTTGTTGAGCTCCCAGAGGATGATGCTCTCGGGGTGGTCTAGCAAGTTCTCACCAACACCAGGAATGTCTTTTACGACAGGGATGCCGAGGTCCGAGAGTTGCTGCTTGGGGCCGAGACCAGAGAGGAGCATCAGTCGTGGGGTGTCGACGGCGCCTGCGCAGAGGATGGTCTCGCACTTGGGGTTGAGAGTGAATTTCTCGCCGCTTTGGAGCGCTAGGTCAATGCCGGTGACCTTGTCGCCCTTGACATTGACCTTGCTGACCCACGCGTTGGTGAGAACAGTCAGGTTGTCGCGCTTCTCCTCACCGCGGAGGATGGGGTGGATGTAGGCGACACTAGCGCTGCTCCGGCGGCCATCGTCGGGGTTGTATGATACGGAGAAGAAACCGACGGAGGGCTTGAGGGCGCCCTTGGTCTTGATTTCGTGGTTAAAGTCGTGGATTACGGGAATGTCCATGGCGGTTGAGCACGAGTCGATCCAGTCGAGGCACAGCTGGTTGCGGTGCTTCTCGTGGACAGGCTGGACGGTGTTGCGCAGGTTGTCAAGCACGCGCATGAAGGTCTTGAAGCTCCAGCCCTTGCAGCCCTGGGCCTCCCATCGCTTGCAGTCGTACTCAAACGGCCTGAAGGAGATGAGGGTGTTGTGTGATGAGCAGCCACCGAGGACCTTTGCACGTGAGTGTCGGATGTGAGAGTTGCCGTTGGGCTGTTCGGTGGTTCCGTAGTCGTAGTCGAGCTCTCCTCCGAGAAGGTTGAGCCAGTCCTTGAGCAGCAGCACACGGTCGTCCATGAAGTCGCTTGGGCCGGCCTCAATCAAGAGGACCTTCTTGTTGGGGAGATATTCGGTGAGTCGCGAGGCGATGACACAGCCCGCTGTGCCTCCTCCGACAATGACAAAGTCATACTCGGCATCCTTGGGGATGGAGGTCACGGTCTCGAAAGCCATTGTTGCGTGTGGGTGGTGGGCTTGGGGTGATGGCGAGAATATACTTCTGCTAAAGAGAGCTTTTCACGTCAGGAGCAAGCTTATATATCCAGGCGGACTATCGCTCGAAGGAGACGATGTTGTCTAGATGGGCCGGGCGTCGCGATCGGGCGGTCGGCAGAAGGTCGGAGCAGCAAAAGTGAGCTGGCGATGAGGCTGGGGAATGGAGAGTCGTGCGCCGCTGCAAGATGTGTCGTTCGCCTTCCAGATAAGACTGTGCTAAATAGGGCCGTTTACGGTTGGACCGGACGCGTGCACGTGCGTACCAACGCCTCAGGATGGCGATGTTGCGACGGGTGCGATGAAGGAAAGGCGATGGGCCGAAATACAGCGGATAGTAAACTGTGAGCAGGTAGTAAGTGTGATTGATCAATTGCGTCCAACAACGACTATAATGGTGTTGGTGACGACGTGGTTATGGCACCCGTGGTTGCCAGTGAAGGAAAAAAAGACGTCGTAAAAGCGTCCGATGATGTGATGGGCGCGTTGGGCCTAGCGCGACCCCGCTGGGCTGCAGCTTCCGAGCTGGCCATCCCTGTCCGTCGATGCCGCACCTTCCCCGATCGCTAGGCGGTGAGGGCGGCAGCCATCGGAGCGACGTTTTTGTGCCAGACAGTAGCAGCGACAGGAAACGACGCCATCCCGCTGAAAAGCGCGCGCCGCTGCTTTCTCCATCTCGCTCGCATCCCTTGCATATCCCTCAGCTGACGTACCCCTCGGCGACGTTCCGAAGGCGAAGGATTACTGATCGTGAAAGGAAGTAGAGGCGCAACAGCTGCAGACAAGCTCCCCGCCGCTATCGCCCATACAAATGTTCGTTCACGTTACATCACCGCGCCAATCTTGACTGCTTGGCTGACACGCGCAGATCAAACTGTGCATAAGAATTCTCCCGGTACATCTCGCTCATCGTGACCATCGTGGCGACCAAACTTTTGCGACTCCGCGTCAACACCAGAAGCAACCTCAGGCTTTTCCATTGCGCCAACAAGCCACTTACCATGTCTCTCCCATATGCGCCCCGATCAGCCTACTACGACGGCAAGCTTCAGTCAGGCTCTTCCACTTCCACCTTCCAAACCATTGACCCCGCGACCGCTCAGCCAGTCGCGAACATCCACACAACCTCCAACGCTGGCATAGATGCTGCGATAGCCTCGGCGCAACGAGCGTTCCCTGCATGGTCCGCGACACCACCCATCGAGCGCGCGCGTATCCTCCAGCGAGCGGCTGCCCTGCTCCGCGCACGCAATGACGAACTCGCCCGCATCGAGACCAGCGACACCGGCAAGCCCTTCTCCGAGACCTCGACCGTAGATGTAGTCACCGGCGCCGATGTCCTCGAATACTTTGCGAACCTCGTAGGCGGAGGCGGCATGAACGGCGAGACGGCACAACTGCGACCAGACGCGTGGGTGTACACGACTAAGAACTCACTGGGCGTGTGTGCGGGCATTGGCGCGTGGAACTACCCCATTCAGATCGCGCTGTGGAAGTCTGCGCCTTGCCTGGCAGCCGGCAACTGCATGGTCTACAAACCGTCAGAGTTTACTCCACTACACTCCACAGTGCTAGCGGACATCTACGCTGAAGCTGGAGTACCGCCAGGTGTCTTCAACGTCGTCCAGGGTGGCGGCGAGGTCGGCGCGTACCTCACCAAGCACTCCGGCATCGCCAAGGTCAGCTTCACCGGACAAGTCTCGACAGGCAAGAAGGTCGCAGGCAGCGCATCCGGCGAGATGAAGTACGTGACAATGGAGCTAGGCGGCAAGTCGGCATGCGTCATCCTGCCAGACGCGGACGTAGATCAGGCAGTCGACGGCGCAATGCTGGCCAACTTCTTCTCAACAGGACAGGTCTGCACCAACGGCACACGAGTCTTCATCCCCGAAGCAATGAAGTCGGAATTCGAGAAGCGATTACTGGAGAAGATGCAATACATTCGTCCGGGCAACCTCCACGACATGGCCACCAACTTCGGCCCGCTGGTATCGAAGCCGCACTACGAGAAGGTCATACAATACATCAAGCACGGCCGCGACAACGACAAGGCGAAGATGCTATGCGGAGGCCCTGAAACCCCATCATGGGTCTCATCGCACAGCGACAAAGCCTACCAAAACGGTTACTGGGTCCAACCCACCGTCTTCACAAACTGCACCGACGACATGAAGATCGTCCGCGAAGAAATCTTCGGCCCCGTCATGTCCATTCTCACATACAAGACCGTCGAGGAAGTCGTCCAACGCGCCAACAACACCGATGTCGGTCTTGCGGCGGGTGTCTTCACCAAGGACCTCAACCTCGCGCACAAGGTCATTGCTCAGCTCGAAGCGGGTATCACATGGGTCAACACCTGGGGTGAGAGCCCGGCTGAGATGAGCGTCGGTGGCTGGAAGCAGAGTGGTGTTGGTGTGGAGAACGGTAAGAAGGGGCTTGAGGCTTGGGTGAGGAATAAGAGTACGCTTGTTGAGATGGGCGGGGCTGTGCCGACTGTTTTTGCGAAGTTGTAGAGAAGACAGTGTAAGGGGATGTATGTATATAGTTGATACCAATCCAATTCAATGCCACAATGCGGAGAAGCTCGGGTTGAAGCTTTGTTGCTAGTGTGAACCGTCTAGTTGGCTGGACTAGTGATGATGGCTTTCGTAAGATAAG